AGGCCAACCCCTTCTACCACCGCTACCGGGACAAGATCCAGCAACTGCGCAGGTGCGGCCAGGCCGGCTGGTGGGGAGCGGGGAGAAGAAAGAACTGGCGGCTCGCGGCCGGAGCTTCCGGGCCTTAGGACAGCCTCGCGTGGTGGGCGCTAGTACTGTCCCCGTGTACTGATGGTGTGTTAAGATTTTGAGAGGATGAGCCACTTGCCTAAGATCACACAGCTGACTAGTCTCTGCAGAGACTCCCTCCACTGTTATCTTTGTGCTTTAATTCTCAAAATGCTAAGGTGGACCTTTTGTTTTGTTTTGTTTTGTTTTTGAGACTGACCTGTAACTCACTATGTAGCCCAGGCTGGTCTCGAACTCACAGCGATCCTCCTGCCTCAGCCTCCCGAGTGCTGGGATAACAGGCGTGCGCCACCACGCCCGGTTTAAGGTGGACTTTTTGACAACCCTGTGAGCAGGCAGCTCAGAGACCTGCCCCCATTATAGAAATGGGAAATGAAGCCTTCCAGAGAAGGGTCTTGACTTGCTCAGGGTCACATATTGAGTGAGCCGAGGTGTGGCCTAGAGCTCGAGTTCTCGGATTTATAATTTAGAGACCTGCATGCAAGAAAGGAGACTGGGGTGAGAGACTACCGCAGAGACTTTCGCTGTGGGATCGTTAGTCAAACCTTCTCACTAAATAAAGAAACTGAGAACGAGAGAGGAAAAGACTTGCCAAAGGTCACACAACTGGTTGGAATTTGTCTGACTCAATTCAGAGTTTTTAGCACTACCCCTCAGCTTCCAAAGGGAAAGACATGGAGATTTGAACCGGCTTGAAGTGTATGTAGTGGTGAGAGTTAGGGTCTGAAGAGTTGAGTTGGAAAGAGCTGAAGGAGATCAGAGGTGAAAAGGGAACTTAGGAGAAAATTTGGCAGGGCAGGAAGGCAGTCTTCTTATGAAAGAAACCAAAAGTCTAGCACTGCAAATTTCCTGCATTGTATTTTAATCTCTAATTTCACTGCCTCAATTTACCTGGACTACCCCTACCATCCTGTAGTGTCCCTCACTTCCAGCCTCAGACCCTCTACCCCAATCCATCTCACTGCTATAGTGGAGATTCTTCTCACTTTTTGAAGCTATGGTGAAATGAATGAGTATTTTTGCTCTCCTTTCAACAGGATTTAGATATTCTCAAGTTGTTTTTAATCTTCACTTGATCTACCACTCCAGCCTTTTCTTTTATATCCATTTTACACACAAATATCTCCAGCAGCTCCCATTCATTCTTACTCATGAACAAATAACAATTTTACTCTCCTTCTATACTAGCTCATTCCCATCAACATTTACACATACCGTTATCTCTTGAAGAGTGAGCTCTCCCAGCCACAATTGACTTCTGGATAGCACCCAAATTCCTTAATGTTCCTCACAAGGCTCTCACGCCTTAGTTGCTTCCAGCTCTCTAGCTTTATCTCTTACCAAAATTTCATTTGAGTACTATGAGCAAACACAAAGTTGGAGGGTTTGGGTAGGATGTTCTGGATAAGGGGAACAGCAGCATAGTCAAAAGTTCAATGACATGAAACCACCAGACATTTGGAAATGTTTGGGCAAATTTTCATCACAATACCTGTAGCACTGTCATGTACTTATTAACACGGCTATCTCTCCCACCAGATAGTAAACTCCTTGAGATAGGGACTCTGTCTTATTCATTTCTATAACCCCAGAGCACTTCAAGAGTACTTCTGCCCACAATGCCTGTCACCTCTGTAGAGTCACTGGTAGACTCAGATATGTCTGTGGCCTCTAGCAGGACTGACCCAGTACTTCTAGAGGGAAAGATCAGCCCATTTACATGACAGTGAACAGAGCAGCATTTGATGTTACCTGAAGAAAGGAATTTTATAATTTTATTATAATTCTATAACGCCTTAACTGAGAGGGTTTGCCAGACTGGTAGCCAAGATGTTCCTGGATCCTACCAAACTCCCCAGTGACACTGTGAGTCTCACAGCCAAGAAATAGAGCCTGTGGATGATGTCATCCTCAAAGTGTACAAAACCAAATATCCCATTGTTAGCTACACACCCCAAATAATTCTTTTCGTTTGTTTTTGAAACAGGTTCTAACTGTATACCAAGTTGGCCTTTTGTATTGGGGACCGACCTCGATTCACTTGCAAGGCAGGTGGTCCGAACCACTGAGCTAAATCCCCAGCCCTAGTCTGAAGAATTTTTAATGAGGATGGCAGCCCCAAGTTTGAAGTTTGAAAACTAACCCTATTTTAATATAAAAGACAAGTTCTGATATTCTATCTGCAGTTTTTCAGAGGATAGGTCAGGGGACATTCAGGTGCTAAATCTTCTGCAAAACAGATAGCTTGAAGTCTAGATAAAAGAAATGCTTACCCTTAGGGCAGGGATAAAGAGAGATGTCAGAGGACTGAGTATATTCAAGGTAATGCTTGACACCTAGTAGAGATAGGATTCCTGCCTGTGGAGGTGACTCAGGAAGATGATCTTTGAGTTGAGTACCCTTTCCATCTTGAGGATTCTAACGATCCAGGATAAAAGTACCTGAAGGACTAAACCCTGTATTGCACTTGAGTATAGCTTGCAGGAGAAAAAAAAAAAAAAAAAAGTTCTACACTGGATCCTTGAGGATTAACAACAGTTGAATAACAGATTTTCCCCCGACTTTCTTGATTTTCAAACCTGTGCCCAGTCCTTATTAACTGAAGGCAAACCCTTCAGCCTGTCTGAATGCCTGTGTCCTTTTTCTATAGAGGTAGAAAGCGATGCTTTATTATTTCAAACTCTTAAAAAGGCCCAGGTGGTTTACCCTTTCATTTACCTTTGATCAGGTCTGACCCAGCTGCTTTTGAGTCGCGCCTGGAGAAGCGCAGTGAGTTTCGAAAGCAGCCAGTGGGGTACTCTAAGCAAGGTGATTTCATCAAATGTATGGAGCAGAAGGTAAGACCTGCCCCTTTTTGTGTTATTAGCTTACCAACACTCCTCCTCACTTCTTCCAGCCCTGTCTGATGTGGGCTCAATGATGAATCATCCTGAATGATCTGAGCATAGCCTCTCTCTATTGTATTCAGTCTCCATCCATAAATGTGTATTCTGTTTTTTCTGGATAAGGTACTGTGATCATGATGGAGACCAAAAGGAAAGAAAAGTATAGTCCTGCTAGGCTTGCAATCTTGTAATCATATGGTAGCACCTATGGTATTGGGCTGCTGGAGTCAGGATAAATTTCTTTTTTTTTTTTTTTTTTGGTGCTGGGAATTGAACTTGGCAGCTAAATCCCCAGCCCAACAGGAAAAATTTCTTAGAGGAGATTGAACCTGACCTACTCTAAGAAGAGTCTGGGGGACTTAAAGCAGAGAAGAGAGAGTAGGGCTTTGATGTAGAACAGGGTCATCAAACATTTTATAAAAGAACCAGAGAATAAATATCTTAGACTTTGTAAGCTATATGATCTCTGTTATAAATACCGAGCTCTGCTATTATAGTACAAAAGCACACATAGACAATAAGTAAATGAATAGGTGTGGTTATATTATAATCAACTTTATTTACAAAAACAGTTGGCAAGCTAGACTTAGTTTACTAACAACCAACCACTGCCCTCCCATGCTCCACTCCCACTCTGTGAAAAAGAATTAGCTTATTAGCTTAAACAGAGGAAAAGCTTTGAAGGGTGTTCCTGGAGAGGCTGAGGTACTTTGCCCACTTTCTGTATCCCCAGAGCCTACCAAGAATGTCCATGGCCTACTCATCTGGATATAACCCAAAGTGAGGCGAGACAGAATAACTGACCTGCTAAGAAGATGGATTCTGCAGATAGATGCCAATGACTAAATCTTAGGTCTCCAAGCCTCAGTTTGCTTCGCTTTGAAATAGGAATAATAACAGGACCTATCTCATAGTTGTACTGGAGAGTAAATAAAATCATTCAAGAGTCTTAAGTGTAGTCCTAGTGTAGCACATAATAAATACTTAATATATATTGGCCATTGTTATCCTTAAATAGGAATCAAAGCTGGAGAAAAGCATGTGGAAAGATTAATGCAGTATTTTTAAACTCTTTGATTATCACCTATAATAAGAAATTCACTTTGTGTTGGAAGTTAGTATGTATGATATGAGTATAACAATATGAAACAGTAGTGACTTTAATGCTGTGCAGTGCATTCTTTTTTTGGGAGTGTGGATACAGGGATCAAACTCAGGACCCTGCGCTTGTGGAGCAGGCAACAGCACCACTGAGCTAAGTCCCTGGCCAGTGCATTCTTATTTTTTATTCCTTTTCATCTTTTAAAAATCTCTGATGTAATCCCAACACTCGGGAGGCTGAGGCAGGAGGATCGCTGTGAGTTCGAGAACAGCCTGGGCTATATAGTAAACTCCAGGTCAGTCTCAACTATGCAGTGAGAACTTGTCTCAAAAAAACAAAAACAAAAACAAAAAATCTCTGATGGCAATCTTTTAAATTGATTTTACAATTTAAGATTTGAAAAATACTAAAGTAGTGCACAAAACAAATTGGAGTGGGAGAGACTGGAGCCAGGGAAAATATGCAGCAGTCCAGGTGTGGGCCATAAAGAACCATAAATAAGGTGGTCACAGAGGAAAATTGGGATTATACATTGTATTTGAAAGTCAAATTAGAAATGCTTGTTTTACTTGGAAGACAACTTTTTTGCCTTAGTTATCCTAAATTTTAAGAGCCTATACTCAGTCTTAATAACTACTTGAGTCAATTAGAACAAGACTAATAGTCAGAGGGCTAATCTCATAAAGATGGGGAGCAAATTCAGCCTCCTACACATAAATTACCAACTACTCCCTACTAAAAATATTTTTAAAGTTGTAATATTCTATAATAAACATTTATAGTAGCAAGTTACATTTGATAGCTCTTGGAAATGTTTCTGTATTATAAACTTTCGATTTTATATGGGAAGGTCTTTGCCCCTTTCTCTATGCAGACTTAAAAATTCAGCTTTGTGGTAATAAGATGTAGAATAAGTCATTTAAATTATAGCAATACTCAGGTAAACATTCACTTGCTATCTCTCTTATCTAGCTAGTCAGAGAAGGGGTAATGGCTAACACATATTCTCAGTTCTCAAAGCCTTCTCTTTACTTTGAGTCATTGGTTCCCTACCACATGGGACTCAACATCCTCTTTTTATAATAAATTGTGTTTAATTCTCCCTCTTCTACCTGAAATAAAACAATATAGTTAGGTGGATTATACAATCTACCTAAATACATAATTTTGATGAGAAAATCAGTGTAGTGCTCTAGCCATAATTAAAGTATTTTAAAATAAAATACATATTGTAGTATCTAAATTCTTGGATGTTTCACTTATTTGTGAAATAACCATGAGCACATAAGCTGCAAATGCTAACTGGTATACAAATATTGTACTGGTAATTATAAAAACTCCAAAAGCATGAGACATGTGCTTATCAGTGACCTGAGATGCCACATCGTACAGTCTTCTCTCAACTTATATAGTGGTGGGGGCCCGGGGTTTAGCTCAGTGGTTCTGCCGCCTGCCTCACAAGTACAAGGTCCCGAGTTCGATGCTGGTACCAAAAAAAAAAAAAATCTACTTATGTAGTGGTTATATTTCTGGGAAGGTCAATGTCTAGTAAAGCTGTGCATTTTTTTTTTTTTTAATCAGGCTATAGGCCAGGTAATTACAAAATGATTTCACCTACAAGGATGCCTGGATAAACATTGAGAGGTTGTCATTATGTAGGCTCATCTGTCAAGTCACAGCACATTTGTCACTTCTGCCCTCTGATAAACATAGGTATCACTATCCAGTCCATTACTGTGGTGAGAAGAATTGTCCTCACAGATTTCCGAAGTATGGGAGAGAAAATAAAGCAGTCATTTAAATTTTTTATTAAATGCTCTAAGATTTTTGGCATGTAGTTTAAACTCTTTTAATTATCTCATTTCATCAGTTCTAAGGCCCAGGATTTTTTTTTTTTAATATTTTAACATCTTCAAAGTTGATGTGATAACCAAGTATTATATTATTGTTTAATTGGCATATTCTTTATTTTCTGATACATAAAAGAATGGTGAATCTTAAAATAAGTCATATTTTATATTTGACAGACTAATAAGCCTATACTTTGGGTTTTTTTTTTCTATAAGTGAAAATGGAAACAAAGAATGTATTTGAAGGACACTAGGAAAAGAATACATGAGGACATTTGGTGATTGAAAGGTGAAAGTAGCTATACAAATGAAGGTTTGGTTTGGCTTGGTTTTCATGATACACCTAAGGATGAATGGTGTGAAGATGAAATTATTTCTCTCCTTGTTTAGTTATTTATTTGGGGGCATTACCAGGGATCAAACTCAGGACCTTGCACTTGCAAAGCAGGCATGGTGCCACTGAGCTAAATCCCCAGCCCCTAATTTCTCTCCTTTTTAGATGGCTTAGTATGAAGGTATAGCTGTCCTAGAATGCTACCAAGGTATAGGGGTGTAATCACAAAACCAAGTCCTATCCAACAAGTTTTTCTGCACCAGGCTTTTATCTAATTTACAGGTTCTATGGGCACCATTATGAAAGATTTGGATTAATTAAACCACATAGTGACCCAACATGTTGTTTAGCATTGATAGCTACCCACATGTAGACTACTCCTTTACCCTTGAAAAGTATGTTTGGTTTTTTTTCCCTGTCCTGTAGCAGGATTATAGACCTGAGCCACTGCCAGGTCTATAAAAGCCTGATCTTGAATTTAGAGACAGGGTGAAGACTCCGAACTATCAGCCATTTGTCAACCATTCCTACTGTCAGAAACCATCAGAGTAGTATTTCGTCAGAGAGAGTAAGCTCTTATCAGAGATAATAAGCAAGAGAGAAAATAGTTAATTTTAGCTGTTCTTGGCCCTTTTTGAGAGGGTGTTTAATTTGATGGAAGGACTAGTAGTACTTGAGTCCACTCAGGACATCTGCCATCAGTAGTGCTGTTGGAGGGCCAGGGATTTAGCTCAGTGGCACCACACCTGCTTGCAAGCACAGGGTAGTGAGTTTGATCCCTGGCACCAAAAAAAAAAAAAAAAAAAAACGTTGGAGATGTGAAGCAGTCTTTGAAAACACATCTTTCTGTTTCTCACCACTTCTTTGGCTCAGTATTGAACAGGTCAGTGGGCTGAGCTCAGGAAAGCTAAGCAGACCTAATTCTGGAAAGAAACACCTCATATTCATAGTGATAGGTACCCCAGTACTAGCAGATGGTAGTACAGACCCAAAAAATCTTCTCATCTCTCATTTCAGAATCTTAGAGGAAAGTTGTTGCATAAACAATAACTTTTCAAATAATGTATATAGTCAGTATAAAGAGTGGAGAAAAGTGAGTCATCAGGTGTAAAATTACTTAATAAGACTGGGCACTTCAGCTAGCCTGATTTTCTTTTTCTTATAAATATAGATTAATACCCTCTCTCAATATGTATTTCAGACAGATGCCTTGGAGAAACAGCCTATGAGCAAAGGATTCACTAAAAACAAGGTAAGTCTCTAAATATTGAGTCTGAAGTCACATGAGACATCTGCAACAAGGGGCTGTAAACTTGAATGTATTTACTGTGATTCAGTGATTTTATATAAGGTCATTTTCCAACTGTAGAGATGAGACGTGAACTTTTGTGTTCTTAACCTGACTCTAGCTAATATATGGGTCCTGGTAGTGCTAGAAGAAATTTGAAGGAAATGTAGTAAAATTTCACCTTTCTCTAGGGAGTAGTTTAAAAAATCAAATAAAAATATATTTAGTTTGTCACTTAATTGTAAATAAAGTGCTTCCCTCCGTAGAATAACAGTTAAATTAAAAATAACCAGTAGGGCCGGGGATTTAGCTCAGTGGTTCTGCTGCCTGCCTCACAAGCATAAGAACCCGAGTTCAATCCCCAGTACCAAAAAAAAAAAAAAACAACTTTTCTCCTTTACCAGCTGCAAAGAGCTGCAACACTTGCTGGTGAGGTTGAACACCTGTGAAGTACTTGGTAATCTAACAAATATTCCTTAGGAGTAAAACTGTATGAAAGCTTATGTGGGCTTGTGGGCTCATTGTTTCTGAGCATGTGATTTTCTTCTTTTTTTTTTTTTTCTTCAGTACCAGGGATCAAACTCAGGACCTTGCGCTTGTGAAGCAGGCGCAGCACCACTGAGCTAAATCCCCAGCCCTACCATGTGGTGTTCTTATGTTTGTAGTGTACTTAACTGAAGATCTGCTTCACTGTCCTTAAATATTGTTTCCCACAAGGCTCAGAGACAGCATTAAGATGTTGTGGAAGGAATTTGCAAGTGACACACAGACAGCAGAATGGAAGTAAAATAACAAATTTACTCTTCAACGAGGGTCAATCGCACATAAGTAGTGCCTGGATTGATGACACACTGGGATACAACTCCTCCTTTTATAGGATTTTACATCTTTGACTTCATTTGGGTGGTTACGTTTCATTCTCATAGTTCACATCATGGTCACATGATAGTTAACTTAAACCCAGATGTAACAATTCTTTGTAGTTGGGGAGTTTACCTTAAGATTCGTCTGGCTATCTATTCTAGTGCACAGGAAGTGGGTGTTCAAGGTTAGGGATGAGCCAGATGTCCCATTTCATGGTCAGTGCCTCCAGTGTCTCTTAATTTTGAACTGAACAAAGCAGATTGCTGTGAGAGACAGAAGGCATTTTACATTTTCCTATCATTTTGTAGGTTTTTAGATTATTTACAAAAGTTCTCTATCAAAGCTACAGGGTTTTTGTTGTTATCTTTAAATTGTAGATGTTAATTGCTTTTTATTTCCTCTTTTAAGACTCTCAGTTCAATTTTTAACATTGAGATGGTGAAAGACAAAACTGCAGAAGAAATAAAACAGGTAATGAATGAAAACGTGTTGGCATACTCAGTGAAAATGTGTTCTGTGAACCAAATCTGACAGTAGAAAAAAGCATACCTTTTTTGACACCTCTTTCTAGCTGAATGAAAAATGCCAATAAAGGACAAAAGTGATGAATTACATGGACAACAGTGGCATAAGAAAAACTGTCTTTCTTGTTCTTGCTCTTATATATCTAATTAACTTGTATTTGCCCTTTGTTTTTTGTTCTACTTGCCACATCTTACTTAAAATCATCAGTACTCTGTACCTGATTGCTATACTGCCTTTCTAGATAGGTTTCCCTCCTCCCATTTCTCACTTTACCTATCATATCCTCACCAACTAAGCCTTCTTAAAGTTACTCTTAGCTGGTGGAGGGACAAACACAAAAACAACTAAGATCTAACTTCTGTTACTAGAATTTTATGCAGTCCCAGGTACACTCAGGTTGTCCCTATGGGAAAGGTGCCAATAGAACGTGGATGACAGCATGTCATTTGGGAGAGAAAAGCCAGGCCCAGGAGGCCTGAACAAGGAGGTAACCTATAATTGTAGACATAAATCTATATCCACTGGAATAATTTTTAAGTAACGGAGGTCAACTGAATTAGGAAATATCTCCCAATCTCATAAATTTCAGTGTTGATTCATAAACTGTCTGCTAATATCATAAATTAAAATACTATAATCCTCCAGTTGAGAAGACAGTCTTTTGATATGCTTTTTTAAAAAGGCAAAGCAACATTAGGGTGCATTAATAGAGTAGTATGCAGAGAGGTTCTAGGAAGCAATAGACCTTTTGTGCTCTGTGTTGATTAGATAGATCACCTGTTGATTAGTGTTGTCAGTTGGGACCTCCACTGTAATGGGAATGTTAACACTAAAAGAGAATGGCTGGTTAGATGTCGTCTTGGTTGTGGTGCCTTTCTCAACTTCTATGCCTTTGCTAATAATGTCACTCTCTACTTAGGATGTGCCTCTTTTCTCATCTCCCCACCTCCCAGTTTACCCCCAGTCACTTCTAATCATTCTTCAGAATACAGCCAAGTGTCCCTTCCTCTGGCATACTTTTCTAACCTGGGTTAAGTGCCTCTTTTAGTAGCTCTGTGTCAACAACCATGGTAGAGAGAAATACATTTCCTTTTAAATCACAATGGTCTACCACCCAGTCAGCATTTCTGAGTACTTTTTGTTTTTTAGGACACTGGTGACAACACAGGCAGATATTCTGCCTACAGGAGATTTGCAAGCTAGAGAAAGGGATCCACATGTAAATGGCCTTAATGAGGTAGCATATCCTAGGCATCTTTTGAGAGATATAAAGTGCAAAAGCAATTTATAGGAAAAATTTTGACTGAAATGGTCAAGGGAGACTACATGGAAGAAGAGGTATATAGGCTTAGCTTTGAAGGACAGGAAATCTTTGTGGGGTTAAAGATGGGGAAAATGTCTTCCAGTCAGAGCCAATAACATGAAAAGGAATGAAGGACAATAGAACAATAATAAAAATATGAACACAGAGCATGTATATGATATGCTAGAGGACAAAAAAATACACAGTATTGCATATGCCCTATATCTATGTACACATACTATAAAATAGCGTTCCTAAGAAATACTAGAAAAAGATACATCACAATAATAATGAGTCTTTTAGAGTAGTAGAACTATGAAAAATTTTCCCTATTTTCTGATTTTGTACAAAAAAATAAATTTTATTCCCTTTGTTTTGGTATTTACATCATGAAGATCAACTGTGCCCTTTCTGTTCTTTGATACCAGACAGAAGTAGGACTTCTGTGCTCTTTCTCATATGTAAAAATTTTTGGAAGTGAGATCTCAAGCTGCCTATAATAAGCAACACTAGCTAATAAAGCTAACATTATTTTTAGTGTTTACTCCATGCCAAGCACAGAGTTACAGTATACTAATTCAACTAGAAAAGACTACCATCCTGTGAGGTTGATATTACTGTTATTTTATTGATATTACTTAGGGAGATTCAGTGATAAGCCCAAAGTGGTATAACTCATAAATGATTGTAGCTGGGATTTGCATCCAGCTCCTCCTGGCCTCTGGATGACTGATCTCCTGGTTCTCTGAGAAGACTCACAGTTGGCTGGGGTGGTATGAGTCTGAGGAGGGAAGAAAAAAGGGGAAAAAGAGGTTGTCTATTACACACAGGCACATTTTTAGAGAAATGATTTCAAAGGTCATAGAATCAGTTTTCTCTGACAGAATTTGTTATTAAGAGTTACAGTTTAATCATCTAGAAGAATGTATGATATTAAATCTTTTTTATAATCATATACTAGTTACAAAAGCATTACAGTGGGTTTTTCGTACCCATTAACAAATAGCATATTACTCTTTGCAATGAAAGCTGTCACCATTTCTTACCACAGGTTGAAAAGATTACCCATATGTCACAAGCACCCTCTTTTTTTTTCTTCTTCTTCTTTTTTGTATAGATTTGGCAGCAGTATTTTGCAGCAAAAGATACAGTCTATGCAGTCATTCCTGTAAGTAGTTTGGAGGGGAAATGAAGTGTTACAGCATAAAGGTCAGTACTGTAACCTCAGCAGGCAGTAGCCTTTACTTTTCCTGTGTTTATGGCCTCTTGAGAACTTGGATTTTACAGCTCTGAGGGTTTTTATTATGCCCTAAGCACCAAAGATTGGAAGCTCCATATGGTATATTTATGGCTTTTGTTTTCCCTCTTTCTGGTTTAGAAATGTCTTTGAGTCAAGTCTCTGACAAGGGAGTATGGTATAAGTTTGTGTTACTCAGTAATTTCCAGATGTCTTTTATTTCTTTTTCGTATTTTCAACCAAGCTATTGGAATTTAAGACAAGGCCTCTAACATAGCTTTCTTCCTTTCTTGTCTATAAACAGTATATAACCAAGCTGACTTAGAGCCTTCTCCTAGTTTTTCTTCCTAGCAAGTGGCAGTGTCTTTGTTTTTCCCTTTTTGAAATTGCTGTTTTAGAGATGGCCACTGGTCACTTGTTGCCCATTAAGTCTTTGCCTCAGAAGGGATGCTGCTTTCTGGTTTACTGTTTTTCTGCTGATATAGGAAAACATTTGAAATACTGAGTTATTGGCTAGTTCCTCACTCGTCCAAACCAGGCCTTTTGGTTGTTACATGGATATCACTGTCTGTTTTTTTTTTAACCTTTTATCATGTACACCTTTACCCTTCATGAGTTCAGCTAGAGGCTAGAGCAGTCTGCATTTTTCATCATATTTTAGCCCTCTTATACCAATTCATTTTGGAACAGACCTTCTTAGCTCTCCTTTGGATTGAGTTAGTGAGTTCCCTGGAGTGTTTATAGCATTTGAGCACCTAATCTTCACACATAATTCTGGCAGTGAACGGCAAAACATACATCTGGCTTTGCCTGTCTCTCTGTCGCAAGAGCAATTTATAAGTAGAAAAACATTGGTTAGTTGTTGTATAATTCTAGGATTTAGTCTTTATGAGCTTAATTGTGATTATGATCTTTTGTATTTCCCTGTTTATGAATTAATTTTATGCTTTTTCAACTCACAGAAAGAGAAGTTTGATTTGATTTGGAACCGGGCTCAGACCTGTCCAACAGTAAGTTTCTGGTGACTGGGTAAAAACTGTTTATCAATGCTGCCAAACAAGGGTGTTTTCCAACTAACCTCCTATTCCATGTTCTCTAACCTGTTCATTTACCAAAGAAGCTTACGTGTTAATTATCATAATAAATGATGTTTTCAACCTAATAAATCATATGGATTTGACCTTATAACCTCTGCCTTTTTAGGTGTCTACCACATCTCAAGCCTTACTGAATGTGGTCTTTAACCCATCAAAATAGGTATATTTTAATATTAGAATATTATATTAGAATATTATATTATATTTTAATATTAGAAGGCTCTGAGACTGTAATTTTTATAACCTCCTTCAAGTTCCTGTTCTATTGGCAGTTTTCTTTGCTGTTTTGGCCATCCTGTTTTACCGTAAGGTGCCTAAAAATAATTATGATATTGTTGTTGCTTGAATAAAGAGCTGACAGAAAGCCCCAAGAAAAGGGAATGGATAACTGATTTGACAGCTGAGTTGGTGTTGATCATGATTTCTAGGTTTTTCAAAAAATGTTTCCAAACATTCCTGATAGAAAATAAAGAATATCTAAGTAAATGGAGAGATATGCTGTATTCATAAATTAGATGACTCAATATTGTTAGGATGTCAGTTCCCCCCAATTGATCTCTAGATTAAATACAATCCCAATCAAAATCCCAATAGTCTTTTGATTTGTATGAATGAAATCATTGTGTTGTCAGTATAAAGAGAAGCACATAGATCAGTGGGAGAGAATAGCCTAGGAACAGACCAACTTATCTATGGTTAGTTGTTTTCAACAAAGGTGCTGGAATAATTAAGGAAAAGGTAATCTGTTCAATAAACTATGCTAAAACAATTGCAAAATTATGTGCACACTAATTAACCTCTACCCTTACCTCACAAAATTTACTCAAAACTTAACTCAAAATAGATCAAAGACATAAATGGAAGTAGTAGAAGAAAATTTTTAAAAGTAATATTAGTGAAGTTCGATTTGACAATGATTTCTTAGGGCCAGGAATTTAGCTCAGTGGCACCGTACCTGCCTCGCAAGCTCCAGGCCCTGAGTTTGATCCCCAGTACAAAAAAAAAAAAAGAGTAGGACAATGATTTCTTAATGGCACAAAAAGCATAAACTATTAAAAAATTATTAATTTAGATTTCATCAGAAGTAAAATGAGGCCAGATGTGATGAGACATGCCTGTAATCCCAGCTATTGGTAGGCTGAGGCAGGAAGATCCTCATACATTCAACTACAGCCTGAACTACATAGTGAGATCCTGTCTCAATAAAAAAAGTAAAACATTTTATTTGTACACGCATATTCCTTGCAACATTAATCCCAATAGCCAAAATGTGGAAGTAACCCAAGTTATATTTAAAACTCTTGTAACTCAGTAATGAAAAGAACAGACATTGCAGTTTAAAAATGGATGAGAATTTTAACTAAATAGTTCACCAAAGCCAAGCATAGTGGTTTATATCTATAATCCAAGCTACCCAAGAAGCTGAAACAAGACTTTGAGTTTGAGGCCATCCTGGGCAACATAACAAGATACTATCTCGAAAAGAGAGAGAGAGAGAGGGAGAGAGATAGTTCTCCAAAGAAGTGAAATGACATATAAACCCCGGAAAGATGCTTAATATCATTAGTCATAATGAAAATCCAAATATATATATGCATTAAAAGTATAAAACATAGAAAGGAATAATGAGAGACAACAAATCAGGATAGATGTTAACCTCTAATGGGATTAAAATGGGGTGCAGAGAGATCTTCAAATTAGATCTCTAATGCTTGCTTGCTTTTTTTTTTTCTGGTACCTGGGATGGAACTCAGGACCTTGTGCTTGCAAGGCAGGTGCAGTGCCACTGAGCTAAATCCCCGGCCCTAATGCTTTCTTTCTTAGGACGGTGCATGAGTGTTTATTATATATTAATTTCATAATTAAAGAACTTTTTAAACCCAAGCATTGAAGAAATGGAATAAGAAGTACAAGTGGTTGGACATAGAGCAAATGACTTTATTTTTCTGTCCCTTTGCGAATCTGTTTCCCACAGTTTCTGTGTGCACTGCCAAGAAGGGAAGGTTATGAGTTCTTTGTTGGACAATGGACAGGTACTGAACTTCACTTCACTGCACTTATAAATATTCAGGTAGGTGGCTTGTGCCCTACCAACACAAAGATAGAGGAAAGAGGCTTATCATTTGGTGGGACAAGGAGCACTTGCTGCAGTTTGAGGGCATAGAATATCTACTAATTCTTAGCAATACTTTCTGTGGCACTGATTAATTTTCATACTTTGCATGTTGTACCAGTTTATCTAGGCTCACTCAATAACAAGAAATGAGAAAAGACCCTAGAATACTTTCTCTGACCACATTTGGCTCTCTCTTGTCTCTCCCTCAGACCTCTATAGCATTTACTGTATGTGCTTCACTTGACAAACATGATGAAGTTAGGATGTTATCTTTTTAACCCAAGCTATAAGCCCATTGAGGAAGGCTGTATATCTTACATGTGTTTTATTAACGAAGTCAGCACATTCCAAGTGCTGGGTGGTTTCCATTTAATATTGTTTTATTTGATTCCTTTTTTCTTTGTTTTATTCTTAAATATTAGATTTAAAAGTTAGATTCTAAGCATTTGAAGCTTTTAAAATAAAAGTCAGTATTTTAAATAATAACAAAGATTAACGTTCTATATTTAAAGGCTACATCTGACAAAAACAAGGATATTCAGATTGGCTTTAAAGTTGGGATAAAGTACAAAATGGAATGAGTGAACAGCTTTTCACAATTTTTAAAATAATTTATACAACAAGAATTTATTGAACACATACTATTATAATTAATACTAGATGTATTTACTTTGTACCAGATGCTGTGTATACATTGTCATTTAATTCTCAAAATATACCATTAAATGATTATTGTTATTTTTTCTATTTATAGAGAAGAAAATGAGCTTAGAGAAATTAATTCACATTGCTAAGTGATAGAGCTGGGTTTGAATCCAAGTCATCTGACTCCAGAGTAGATGAACTTAACCATTATATCATTGTGTTGGGAACTGTGCTAGGACCTGGAGATCTGAGACAAGGTCCTTGCCTTCATGAAACTTATCCTCAAATATAAGAGAGAGATCCAGAAACATAATTATGATCAAAGTGATTAGTATATGACATTAGAATAATGACCAAAATGATTAGTAAAATACAAAAAGTTTGTCTGGAAGAATAAAGAGACTGAAGACCTTAGCAAAACTTAGATATGATAATTAAAACCTTTGCTGAAATTTTAGAGATGAAGCCAAGAGATCTAGGACTGAAGACCTTAGCAAAAGTTAGATACGATAATTAAAACTTTTGCTGATATTTTAGAGATGAAGACTAGGGATATTATTTTGAATGTGGTTTCCTTCTACACTAGATGGAGCGTGGGGCTTTGGTCTTTAATTTAACCTTGTTTCCTAGTCTAGACTTGAGGTCTAATAACCACTGCTCTCATCAATCTTCATGAAATTATGATGTCCCCATTCTTCTTCTCTCTTTTCCCACCCCAAACAAATTATATTTTAAAACCACAGACTACAAATCTGGCCCATGCACAAGCTCTCCAGCTCTTTCTACAGCTTAAAAGAGCTCAGTCTTCAGAGCCAGCCAAGGGGAGTAGATTTCAGCTATGAAATGCACTAGTCCATAAAAGTGGCAATTACACAGGCACATTGCTTTCTTTAGAACTTGATTTGGTAGCTGCTGGTGCCATTTTATTTTTAAGTGTATGGCTACTATGAAGGATTCACTGCTTTCTATAAACATTTTCTGGGAAAAAAGCCAAACCTTTTCCAGTTGATGACACAAATAACACCATGCAAACTGTGAGTTTCACCCTGCCTTTTCAGGTTCAACCTTGCCCCCTCATACCTGTCCTCGAGCTCACTGGCCACCTAATAGGCTGTCACAAGCCAGAATTTCCTCCAGACTCTATTGCTTTGAAATTGTCGTTTGTTGTTGTGGCACCTTATTGAGCCTTAATAAGTGTTCCTCCTGCAGACCCGAGGGGATGCCGCAGCCAGCCAGTTGATTTTATATCACTACCCTGAACTTAAGGAAGAAAAGGGCATAGTGCTGATGACAGCAGAAATGGATGCCACATTTCTGGTAAGAAGCATCTTTACCTGTTTGGATTACCTAGTAGCCCTAAAGGTGCTACATTTCTTTCAAATCTCATGAGAGGTAAAATTCCAAGGAATTTACACGTACTTACTTAGAAAGTTGGCATAATTTTGTCTTCTTCATGTCCTTCCAAACTGATTTTATTTTGTTTTTGCTTTTGTTTTTTTGTTTTTTTGAGACAGGGTCTCACTGTAGTTGAGACTGACCTGGAACTCGCTGTGTAGCCCATGCACAGGGATCCTCCTGCCTCAGCCTCCCAAGTGCTGGGATTTCAGGCGTGCACCACCACGCCTGGCCAAACTGAGTTTATTACTCAGTGATCCTTAACCACTTATTCACAATTCTGAAATCCACAAGTTATGAAAATCGTTTTTTAATACCCATTTAGTCAAAAAATCTTAAAGATATCCTTAAATCTGATTTAAACTCGTTTGGGAGCTAAATGTTTACTTAGACTGACATGAGACCATGTATAGCCTTTATTAAATTCACTTGGTATAGAATGTTGTGTTTTATTGGTATGTTTGATTAAGGAGAGTTATATAATATATACATATTATCTGAACCTACTGCCTTTCTAAAATCCGGTAATTCTAAATCCAACACAGAGAGAATTTCATGGAAGAGATTGTGGACAAATAAATGACTTCCTAAATGTAGGGTAGTTTTGTCTTTTCCACATTGTCCACATGTGAAACCTTCATCATCCATAGTGATTTCCTTCCTCTTTTTCCCATTCCCAGTTAAATGTCACTAAGATAGAGCAACAACTCTATGGCCATAGCTAATGATGCCTGTTGTGTTCTCCCCAGGTACCAGCAGCAGTTTTATGACTGCTGTACAATCTATTTATCCTTGCTCATTTTGGTCTCATTTATTGGCTTCAGCCTCAGAGACTGGTGGTATCCACCTCCAATCGTAGAAGTATCCTTGCTTTAGGAAGATTTTGTTCCTGAGGCGTGTTTGAGTTTAAGAAAGGTAAAATTGATGAAGTACAGTTACCAACTTAAGTTAGTCTTAATTATCAGAAACAGTAGCAGAATGAAGTGGAGGGAGTACCAGCCTGGAAGTCGTGAGGTCTGCCTCTGGCTAACCACATGAGTTTGGGCCCATCCCTTTTCCTCACCTGCCTTAGTTTCCTGCACTATGAAATGAGGACTGGGTGATTTCTAAGACTCCTTCCAACTGTGTTAAATTTCTGTTAATTTGAAATAGCCATGTTTGCAGTGGGAGGGGGGGCGCTTTTAATTGAAAACAGTCTCAGAGATGATTGTCTACTTTTGAGAAATGATCTAAAAGTTCCATGGAAGGGGTAGAGTTAAAGCACAGCCTATAGTGTTTACAAACTCATCTTCATCATCCTGTAGCTGGAGCACTCTTTGAGCAATCAGTTTTTGTAAGAATTTTCCCGTACCTTTTGGGGTTTGATTTTGGCCAGATGAACTCAGTGGTGATGAATAAATACCTCTAGCCAACTAGAATTGCAGAATGTATGGAAAACAAAAGTCAGAGTTGAGGTAATTCTTTCATGAAGTTTTGAGGGTGTAGCCTGTGTCTCCCCAAGCTTACTCCACCCCTCTTCGGTGTTGTCTGTTCACCACTTCTGTGCACTGCACTTTAGAGACATTCACCTTTCTCTTCCTAGTGGTAGATTAGTTATAAATGGCTGCATATCAAACTACTCCAAAAGTTAGTGTCTTAATGCAGCAAACATTTGTTACCTCACAGTTTCTGTGGGACAGGAACTCAGGAGAAGCTTAGGTAGATGATTCTGGCTCAGTCTCATGAGGCTGCCGACAAGATGTTGGCCAGGGCTGTAGTCATCTGAAGGTTGATTGAAGTTGAAGATACACTTTTGGCTCCACACATGGCAATTGGCAGAGCCCTTGTTCCTCACCACATTGGCTTCTCCACAGGGCTGCTTGAATGTCCTAATGGTATAGCAGCTGGCTTTCACCAGAGCAAGTGATTCAAGACAGAAGCTACAATCACTTAATGTGTTAATAGCAGGAGTCCTTCCCTATCATTTCATCATAGTCTCTTTGTTAGAAGCAAGTCATTAAGTACAGCCTCATTAAAGGAAAGGGAACTCAGTCTTCACCAAAAGAAGAAATATTTAATTTCTGGACAGATCTTAAAACCATCACAGCTGGCTCTGGCAGTTTTTCTGACTGCTGATGTCAGTAAAGGTTATATTCAGGTGTATGTTTGATTAGTCTGTAACTTGGTATCCACAGACTAGTTCTTAGAGCTGGGTAACTCTTGCTCTTTTTTTTTCCTCAAGAGATATATTTCACTTGATCTTAGCCAAAAGGCCGAGAAGCGATTCAAGAGATATATTTAACAGTTATCTAGGAACTAAATGCAGAGGGAAATTATGAACATATGCATTAATTTATTCAGGCATTCACCAGATGTGTTCATGTAGGGGCATAAAACGAGCCATAATTTATGTCTTTTAGGAATGTGTATTAGGAAAAAATGATACATATAGGACAGTGTGATAAATACTGTGATAGTGATAAACCTGGAGAAGAAGCAAAGACTCAGGAGGCCAGAGAATCAGGGAAGCTTTCAGAAGTAGTGATTCCTGGGTGAGGCCCCCACCCACCACAGAACTCAGACACAGAATTTCGTGGTCCTGTTCGAGGAGGAACCTCACCACTCTTTTTATCTTGCAGAATGTTACTGAGGCACAGTGCATCGCCAATCAAGTTCAGCTCTTCTATGCCACAGATCGTAAAGAGACCTATGGGCTAGTAGAGACATTTAACTTCAGACCAAATGAGTTCAAATATATGTCTGTCATCGCTGAATTGGAGCAAAGTGGACTTGGAGCAGAACTGAAATGTACCCAGAACCAAGATAAGACTTAGAACTATAAAGGTTAGCCCTTCACAGAGTCAGCTCAGCCCCGGATAGTGTAGAAATCTCCCCTCCCAACTCAAGAGCTCAGCATCTGTAATGAGCAGTCTGTATTGAGTTGCCCTTTGTGCTTACTGAAAGAAGTGATCATGGAGGGGCCGGGGATTTAGCTCAGTGATGCTGCCACCTGCCTTGCAAGCACAAGGTCCTGAGTTAAATCCCTGATACCAAAAAAACAAACAAAGAAGTAATAATGGAGATGAGCCTTAATACTTGATATTCAGGAGTAAAGGTACCCACATATTCTGATAATTACCTCTCAGTATACTTGAGGTTTCCTTTTAAATGTTTCTGGTCAAGAGTCAGCCAGGGATCTGCAGAACTGTTCATTTGACTTTCTATAATATAGCAGTGCAGTTGCATTTTGGCTGTTTTGACCATATAGCTTCCAGTTCTACATCGTTATAAACTTGAGACAGAATAATGTTAGAAGTCCTGCAGTAGTTAGATGTGGGCTTTATGAAATCTTCCCATGTGCCAATCAGCTGGCCAAAGGCATAAACCCAATATCCTGTTTAGACTCTAGAACAACAAGATATTCCCATCAGGATAAAGTCTTCATCTAGATGCCCCCCAGAATTACAGTCTTTAGTGTAGCTGTCTTGGGGTGTCAACAAATTTCAGAGACAGTTGGATAAACAGGTACAGAGCCTACATATTATAAACTAGTTTATGGCATCTACTCCTGTAACTCTGCCTGTTAGAGGCTGTGTGTTGGAAGAGGTAAATCATCACAGTGTAAATAAACCATTTTTCTAAGGAAAGGATCATTTCAGATTAGCATGATTTTTTTAAACCAACCCTAAGCATTATATGAAAAAGTAGGTGGGAGAACATGTTCCCAGATTGAGTGTGGGGAAAATGTAGCAATAAAATAAAATCTAGCTTATAGTCTTTATTATACAAAATAGTGAAATCTAAGCTATGTACTGTCCATAGTTTTGGTGCTGTGGGCTGATTTTATCAATACTTATCTTGAGACAGCAGTTTCTTGAAACACCAGAAGTAAGAAAAATTGTTCTAAAAAATCCATGTGTGGTTTGTAGTAGCTCCCAGCTCAGGGATAGTAGACTATGGCAGATACATACCAATACATACCAGCCTGCTAAACTTTAGACCCTAAGTGGCCCCAGCCACCTGTAGTATGTCTTTCCTTTTCTTAATCTAACATGTACATTTATTGGCTGCCCCTGCCCCTACCTAAGATCTGGTTGGATGGCAAAATATGATGAGTAGAAATTTATATATATATATATATATATCTTTATTGTGTAAGTCTATAAGTTGAGCCTGTTCTCTAAGCTTTTTTTTTTTGAGACAAGGTCTCCCTTTGTACTGCAGGATGGCCTTGAACTCATGGCAGTCCTCCTGCCTCAACCTGAATGATGGGATTACAAGCATGTGCCACCATGCCTGGCTTCCCAAACTTTTTAAATAGGATTGGACTTATATATATATATATCTTTATTGTGTAAGTCTATAAGTTGAGCCTGTTCTCTAAGCTTTTTTTTTTTGAGACAAGGTCTCCCTTTGTACTGCAGGATGGCCTTGAACTCATGGCAGTCCTCCTGCCTCAACCTGAATGATGGGATTACAAGCATGTGCCACCATGCCTGGCTTCCCAAACTTTTTAAATAGGATTGGACTTCCTGTTATTTTCTGAGCTGTCTATTTTTGTTATACTCTGCAAATTCTGGGTCTGCCACTTGTCTGGACAGTTCATCTTTTGAGAAAGGAGTTTTATCAACCCTGCTATTTCCCTTGAATGCCCTCTGACCTTCTGGATGTTTTGCAATCTACAAATCTTAGCAGTTGGGTTTGGATTTGTGGGTATCCAGTTATGTTTGCTTTTCCCTCCAAGACCTAGTTCTTAACCGTAGTACATTTCCATAACACCTCCACCAGGGGGTGAAAAAATGATGGAAAAAGAAGAAATGGCAATTTGTTTTATAGTTCCAGCTTTGCCCTCAAACCTAACTTGCCAAAGAAGGATGTATCCATGGGTAATTAATTATACTGAACATGACTATAGTACCATCTGGCTGTTCTTTATTTATCTAAAGACAGCTAGCAAATAAGTAAAAGAAAATTATATTTAATCTGTCCCTTGGTGTCCCTATAGGAAGTTGACAGGCTTTATAGTTAAATGGATCTGGGTTCAAATGGCAGTGTTGCTACTCATTAGCCCACGACTTGAACAAATTACTTAAACTCTACTATTTTTTCATCTGTAAAATGGAGATTATAATATCTACCTCATAAGATTATTATGAGAAGTTAACTTATATAGAGACTATAGGGCAACTTAAAAATTTGAACCCGTTTCCTCTTCTCTGCTCCCCCTATCCTCATTAATACAAGTTAAGATTAACAACCAATGTGCAGATCATTACTCATTTCACTTTAAAAAACAAACTGCATCTCACCAATTCTCAAACTTCAAGATGCAATCGAATCACTCAGAGTGCTTTAAAATGTAGATTCCCAGACCCATACCTTTCTGAATTAGAATATTTGCAGAAGGTGCTGTGACATATATTTTGATATGTGCTTTACATGATTCTGATGTAAGTAATGAGCAAGTTGTATGTTGAGAATCATTGCCATATTTATTCTTCATGAAAATGTCTGTCAGCCAGTCTTTCTTTGCTATAGACATTGATCAGAGGATGTAAGTTCCCCTGCTCTTTGTCTTTCATAGTGGTTCCTTTTGCAAACTCTAGTTACATTACTTACTTATTTTTGTCTTTTCCCCCATGAGACTGTGAGCTCCTTGTGGTCCAGAATTTATCTCTGTTCAGTGCCAGTGACATGGCCTGGACCATAGAAGATACTTGGTTGTTAAATAACTAAATTATATGAATTATAGCCAAAATCTTACTGGTTTGTGTGTGTGTGTATCTTTTAGTTTTTTGTTTGTTTGTTTGTTTGGTTTTTTTTTAGGTACTAGAGATCAAACCCTGGACCTTATATATGCTAGGCAGGTGCTCTATGTCTAAGCTACATCCCCAGCCCTTTTCTATACCGAATCTCTCCCACTTTTTAAAAATTTTGTACTAAGAATCAAAGCCAGGGCCATGTGCATGCTAGGCATGTCCTCTACCACTGAGCTGTATCGCCAGACCAGAAGGATCTCTTAACACACATAGATTGGGAATTTGTTGAATAAAAATTTTTGCAAGCCAGGACACAAAATTACACACAAAGTCTCTATCTCATCTAATCCCCTGACATTACCAGACAGTTCAACAGTTGCTCACAGAACACCTTCTCTGCTGCCACTGTGTTAAGTACTGAACATAGGAGCATGATTAGGATGTGATCCCTGCTTTCAAACTCTGTTTTACACTTCTGTTTCTCTCTTGCTTCTGATTCCATGCCTCACGCCTAGCACCTGGTCACAATTTCCCTTGTCTGTTTTTTGGGGGGTTTTGTTTGTTTGTACCAGGGATCCAACTCGACCTTGTGCTTGAGAGGCAAGCAGCAGCACCACTGAGCTAAATCCCCAGCCCTTCTTATCTGGTTTTTTGAGACAGGGTCTCACTATGTAGCTCAGGCTGGCCTTGAACTTGTGGCAGTCCTTCTGTCTCAGCCTCCAGATTGCTGGAATTACAGGCATGCACTATCACTCCTGGCAGTTTGCCTTGCCTTATTCTCAGGATACTCATAGTGTCAGTTACTTCTTCTCCAGCCAGTGTAAAAATTAGAGCCACATGTCTGTTTTTTTATATTCTCTACAATACTGACCTCTTGTTCAGTCTTGGAGAAGTACCAATGCCACTTTAACATATGACTTAGCATTTATTCATCAGTCATTCTTATTTGATGAGCACCTTTTTTATACCAACCACTGTTTTAGAAAACTCAGTAATACCACAATGAAAAGGACAAATAAGGCCTGTAGCTTATGTTGTTTTTTTTTTTTTTTTTTTTTTTTTTTTTTTTTTTTACTTTTCTTCTGTAGCTTATATTCTTGTTGAGAAGACAAATAAGCCAATAAGACTGTTTCACATGTTGGCAGTACTATAAAAATAATAAACTAATGTAACAGACTGGAGTGGAGACAATAACTGAATGATCAAGACAGCCATCTGCCGAGGTGATAGCTGATGTCTGAGCTAGGAGGAGAGTATTGGATAAAGAGAATAGCAGGTGCTAAGGCCTTAGAGCAAAGCTACAGCAAGCATACTTGTTTCTGTTTCTGGGTAGAGATTTGGAAGTTCACTCCCTGCCCTTGAGGGACCCACAGTTCAAGCAAGACACTCACATGAATAATCATAATACAAAGTAAAACAGTACCATCTCAAAAGAGGGTCAAGAGTTATAAAATCCTACTGAGTATCATAGAGGATGCGCTGCTTGCCAGACCATACCTGCTGTGGAAGTAGTTATGACATAAAGGAATAACAAGTAGACATTATTAAAGTCTCAAAAGATAGCTGTTCCCCATGCAAGAATACAGGAGTCCCTGTGAGTTGAGAGCTGGCCTTGTAATATATGCACATTAACATTAATCACTAATATTTTCTACGGGTTTACTCCGTGGCTTATCCTGAGGTTAGCTGGAACTAGTGAGTTGGTAACATGCTGCCACTATCCTTATACCCTCCCTCTCCCTGGGTAGGAGCCAGCCTACCAATTTATCCCCAGCTGGGGGTGAACAAGGAAGAAAAGAGACAAAGATAATTTAGAATGAGGGAGTCAGGGGGCTCTTTGCCTGTAGTGGATGAAAAGCCCTGGGTTTTTGGCAAAAATGCTCAAATAGATTAATATAATCTATTTGATTCTATTAAAAACAAACAGATTAAAAGAAGATTCATATATATATATACATATATATATATACATATATACATATATATGTGTATATATATATATATCATGTATCCAGGTAAACATCCAGATCTCAGCTGTACTGACTCTTCTTTGGAACTTGCAGTGTGCTAGCATGCCTGCATAGCGTGCTGTTTATCTCTTTTGTGCTGGCAGAGAAGGTCGATTAGGCCTCCATACTCATTATCCGGTCTCCTACATCCCTGGCTTCGGCTCACAAGAGGGTAACCTCCAAATCACCTCTAAGCCTAGCTCCAACAGTAAACTAAGCCTTCTTAAGAAGACTTGGGAGACCAATGGAACCTGTCCTAAGGAACATGTCTTGCCAATTTTTCTCCTGGTAGTGAAAGAATGTGTGTATTCTGTTTCTTATTCCTCCAGACTATTTTTTGTTGGTGTGTATGTACGTGTGTGTGTGTGTGTGTGTGTGTGTGCGCTCTTGCACTCTGCACTTTATTCTCAGGCAGCACTTTGGTCTTATCAGTTGTCTTAATGTGGCAGTTCAGTGGCAGCATTTTTATTTCTGTTCTGCTAAATGAAAGACTTGGAGCACAGAAAGGGAAAAGATGACAAAGGTTGCTGCCTTCATCAGGAGCCAAGCTTGGAATAGAAGTGACTGTATATGCTCCCGGCTTAATGCTATGATTTGTAGCATCCAGTGAGCAAGCTCATATTTTGCATCCATTCAAACATGGCTATTTCTGAGCTCTTTAAACCTCAGGAACTGGTATAAGAAAAACTG